GGGGGAGTGAGGCCGGGCACTGCCACTACTGGAATTAACACTGGGACTTGTGCATAGAGTGATAAAAGTCCTGACTTTTTGTGTGGACAATTTGCCTTTCTTTCTTTCTTTCTTTCTTTTCTCTTTTTTCCGTCTTTGGGGAAATATGCGTATTATGGCGAATTTGCATTTAAGCTCATGACGGTAGCTGACACATTTCCTTGGGAGTTGGGGAGGGAGGGAGGGAGGGAGAGAGAGAGAGAGAGAGAGAGAGAGAGAGAGAGAGAGAGAGAGAGAGAGAGAGAGAGAGAGAGAGAGAGAGAGAGAGAGAGAAAGAGAGAGAGAGAGAGAGGAAGGGAGAGAGTTAGAGAGAGACAGAGAGAGAGACAGATAGATAGATAGATAGATAGAGAGAGAGAGAGAGAGAGAGAGAGAGAGAGAGATCCACAGTAACATTTCAGAAATAATATAAATGGTAATGAATTCCCTTCATTTGCATGATAAACGGACAACGTGTTTTATGCATGTTTCATTTTTCCTTCCACGTGATTAATTTATAACGCCCGCAATAGCAACTATATCTATCTCTCTACCTAACGCTATCTATATATCCGAATCAGAACGAATATAAATGACACAGTTCTATGGTCCATGGAGTATATGATTTGCAGTGTGTCCCAGATATATATATTTCGAATATGTGCATGAATATAAATTTGAAACACAGCTGATTCACTGACACGGAGGCGAAACTGCATCAACAACTTCCAACAAACAGATTTCACTTTCCAATTCTAAGAGATTACTTCATTAACCTCGGCCAGAAAACAATGAGATTCACGTCGGCTGTGAGTGAGGGAGAGAGTGAGGGAGAGAGTGTGGGAGAGAGTGAGGGAGAGTGGGAGGGGGAGAGTGAGGGGAGAGAGTGAGAGATTGTGGGAGAGAGTGAGGGAGAGATCGTGGGAGAAGGTGAGAATGAGAGAGTGAGGGGGAGAGTGAGAGAGAGAGAGAGAGAGAGAGAGAGAGAGAGAGAGAGAGAGAGAGAGAGAGAGAGAGAGAGAGAGAGAGAGAGAGAGAGAGAGAGAGAGGAGAAGAAAAAAAAGAGAGAGAAAGAAGGAAAAAGAGGGAGAGATTGAAGAAAAATCGGGGGAGAGTGAGAAGGAAAGAGAGGAAGTGAGAGAGAGTGGAAGAGAGAGAGAGTGGAAGAGAGAGAGAAAGAGACAGAGAGAGAGAGAGAGAGAGAGAGAGAAAGAGACAGAGAGAGAGAGAGAGAGAGAGAGAGAGAGAGAGAGAGAGAGAGAGAGAGAGAGAGAGAGAGAGAGAGAGAGAGAGAGAGAGAGAAAGAGAGAGAGATTGAAGAAAAAACGGGGGAGAGTGAGAAGGAAAGAGAGGTAGTGAGAGAGAGTGGAAGAGAGAGAGAGTGGAAGAGAGAGAGAGAGAAAGAGACAGAGAGAGAGAGAAAGAGAGAGAGAGAGAGAGAAAGAGACAGACAGAGAGAGAGAGAGAGAGAGAGAGAGAGAGAGAGAGAGAGAGAGAGAGAGAGAGAGAGAGAGAGAGAGAGAGAGAGAGAGAGAGAGAGAAAGAGAGAGAAAGAGAGAAAGAGAGAGAGAGAGTTAGAGAGTTAGAGAGTGAGTGAGAGTGAGAGAGAGAGACTGAGAGTGAAAAAAGACAAACACAAAAAAGACAAATAAACACCAAAACAATATCCCCTTCCGCTTTCCTCCATCCCCAGAGAAGAATGTCTGAGAATAAAATGCGGCTGGTTTCTCCACGTCGACGCAGCGGTTTTCCTGAACCCTATGGTCCTCGGCTTACAGACTTCCTTGGGCCACCCTGTACTCGCTCCGGCTCTGAGGTGAGTATTTCCTGTATTTTATGTGTATATGTTTATTTCTTTGTCTTTGTTTCTGTCTCTCTCTCTCTTTCTCTCTCTCTCTGTCTCTCTGTCTCTGTCTCTGTCTGTCTGCCTGTCTGCCTGTCTGCCTGTCTGCCTGTCTGCCTCTCTCTCTCTCTCTCTCTCTCTCTCTCTCTCTCTCTCTCTCTCTCTCTCTCTCTCTCTCTCTCTCTCTCTCTCTCTCTCTCTCTCTCTCTCTCTCTCTCTCTCTCTCTCTCTCTCTCTCTCTCTCTCTCTATCTATCTATCTATCTATCTATCTATCTATCTGTCTCTATCTATCTATCTATCTATCTATCTCTATCTCTCTGTCTTTCTCTTTCCCTTTCTCTCTCTCTTTCTGTCTCTTTGTTTGTCTGTCTACCTGTCTGTTTGTCTATCTTTCTGTCTTTCTGTCTGTCTGCTCTATATTTTCACTGTTTTAATTTTCTCTTTTTCTTTTTTTCTTTTATCCAGCATAATTGTTTGATTTATCTTTTTTTTCGTACTCCCGCATCTTTCTTTCTGGTTTCCTCTTTCTTACTCTTTCTGTCTTTCCCTACTTCTCTCCCTGTATTTATTATTCCCTTATCCTTTGTCTACTCATTCCTCCATCATTCTGAGCAACTAAATCAACACCACCAACAGTAATAACATCAAAACATCATCAACACCAACAACAACATCACCACCATCTCCAGCAACACCAACAACATCACCGCCAACAACACCACCCCTACCACATCACCAACATTAACATCACCACCACAACCACCTTCAGCCCCATCACTACCACCACTAACAATAGCAACAACATCACCATCACCACCAGCATCAACAACACCACCCCTACCACATCACCAACATCAACATCACCACCACAGCCACCTTCATCCCCATCACTACCACCACTAACAACAACATCACCATCACCACCACCAGCATCAACAACACCACCACCTACACCAATAACAACAACAACAACAACAACAACAACAACAACAACACCGTCACCAACGCCAACAACAACATCAACACCAACAATTCCAAACCACACAGAAACCACGGCCTAATGCATCTTCCTTCCCTTCAGCATCCAGAGTAGAATTCCTGCTTCCTTCTGGCGCGAGTTGGATCCTGACCTTCGCCCCGCCTACTCCTGGGACCACGCCCAGATCCTCAAAGGTCAAGGGAGCGCTCGGTAAAGTCTATGTTTGTTTGTTGTTTTTTTGTAATGGTATTGTTTTTATTGTTTTTTATGTGGTTATATTTGTAGTTTAATTGTTACGTAAACTTTGTTTGGTGTGTGTTTTATACAAGACATTTGGTTTAGTACGTAATTATATATATAAATTCAAGTTTGCCCTGTAATTGTATAATGTACAAAAAATATAAAAATATGTATTCAGTTCTTTTGACAGTTTAGCCATAACTTCTACATAAGCGACCTTCTGCAATTGCATACATAAGGAAGCAACAACAGTCCTGCCTTTCCTTCAGTTCTTCTAAACAAGGAAGGAACAACAACTGTCCTTCAATCCCCTCCTGTAGTCCTTCTAAACAACCCTTTCCTCCTCCTCCTCAGCGGGTACTGGCACGCCTCCTGCATCAGGGGCGTGTACTCCGTTCGCCACGACGTCCTGGAGCGCGTGAGGAGCCCTTACACTCACGCCTTTCCTCTAGCCACTGAAGAAGACCCCGACCTCGCCTTCTGCAGCGCCCTGAGGGAGGCTGGCGTGCCCATGGTGGTGCAGACGGCGTTCCAGGAGCAGGGTGCCCTTCTGAACACCTCCGGGCACGACATTGGCACTCGTGATATTACCACGTTCTCGTCTAACCCGCTTCTGTGGCATCTGTTCTATGTGCACCCGGATTACAATAAGATTATGGGAGGCGAGTTCAGCTTCGTGGACAGGGTGAGTGTGGTTTCATGGAGGGAAGATTAGACTGAATAGATTTGAAGTTTGCATTGTTTTTTTTTTTTCTATGCAGATTTGCGGTTTGAAGTTTGCATTTTTTTTCTATGCAGATTTGCGGTTTGGTCAGATTTTTCGTTCGCAGTTTTGAGAATATGGTAGATTTTTTTCAAACGCAGATTTAGAGCTGGGCCAGATTTTCCAAATGCAAATCTGGTGGTTAGTTTCCAACACAGATTTGAAGTTAGGTTATACACACACACACACACACACACACACACACACACACACACACACACACACACACACACACACACACACACACACACACACACACACACACGCACACACACACGCACACACACACGCACACACACACACGCACACACACGCACACACACGCACACACACGCACACACACACACACGCACACACACGCACACACACGCACACACACACACACACACACACACACACACACACACACACACACACACACACACACACACACACACACACACACACACACACACACACACACACACATATATATATATGTATATTTATGTTTCGTATCCTATGGATTTTTATAGTTGATATTTCATGTTGAAGATAATATAACCAATATACCATTTAGACATATTCATTTACATCCTCCCAGCCATGTTATGAAGTGTACGTGTTCCCCACCTTTAGTCAGCGCTTTGCAGCCGAACTCGTGCAAATTGCAAACTCTGTGAATCAGTGGTCAACTGGAACAACGAAGGTGAGTGGAAGTTTTTGTAAAATTAAGATAAGAAATAGATAAAGATAAATAGATAAAGAACACGGATAAAATTTTGTTATAAATACAGATGAAATATATAAAGTGGAGAATGATGCAATAGATGGGTGCAAGAATATGTTTTTTTTTTATTTTACGTTGCAAAGTCTGTCTGGAATTTATCGTCCTTGATATTTCGTTTGGGACAATTTGACATTTAATTGACTGAGCTAGTCGCTTTATCGCTTGCTCAATAAAATGCTATTGTGCTTATAAAAGGAAATGTCTTTTATTATCTTCCTCGTCTGTCTATGTGTCTGTCTGGCTGTCTGTTTTTTTTCTGTATCTCTTTATGTATTGTTGCGTAACTACCTGACTTTCTCTTTCTTTGTGTGTTTGTCTTTATCAGTCAGTCAGGTAGCCAGTCAGTCAATCTCTCTTGTCTCTTTCTCTCTGTCTGTCTGTTTGTG